AACACAACTTGTCGACAGGATGTATTGAGATGTTTCAGTTGCATTTGATTTTAGATGAGTTTATACAACTAACAAATGAGCACATTCACTTGAGGACGGCACACTCAAAACTGATGGGCTACTGGGTGACCGAATATGGAGGCTTAAATGAAGTAACTCACATGTGGCAATATGGTAAGCTATTAATCAGAGTACACACATAAAAATACAGAAATACACAACCTGTTCCCAGCTGATATTGACAGCCTCGAACAAGGTTGTGCTGCAACCGAATGAAAGGTGTAATGAAAGAGGCAGAGAAGACCCTGAGATGCTCTGGAGACTCCAAATTGATGATCTAGAGACGCCAAATTTTCAAAATGTTCCCTATGTTTATCAAGCTTCTTCCTATATACCCCCATGCAACCTCATACTCAGACTCTCTCCTCCACTCCTTGCTGTACTTATTTAGTGAGGTGGAACATAGAGGAGAGAGCCTGAGTAGTAGGTTGGTAAAAACACAGTAATAATATTTAATAAATATCTGCTACCATTTATTTTCCAGATAACCATGGTCATCGTACGGCCATCCGAGCGGCTCTTGCAAGTGATGAGAACTGGATTGATACCTACCTTTCAAAGATGTTAACCATGCTGGACAAACAGGTACGGTAACCCATTATCTTATCGTGATGTGATAGTGGATAAAATTGGAAGCATTTCAAGATCAAATGTATATATTTGTTTTAGGATAATGCTGTCTTGTATCCATTCCCCTGGTACAATGTGGTTGAGAAACCAAATTTAGAACAAGGTAAACCATTAATTTATTTTGGTGGTATTACTGGTTTAGGGCAATTATGAGGGACGTGGATGTTTTAGCCTATTGAGTGCCAGCTCACTCTCCCCTTGATTAGCAAATTCTCCTAGTATCAGACAGAGTAGGTAGGACACAATGCCCATGGAGTTCAACCTGATCAAGTCATTTGTTAGGGTGACGTGCTGCTTGCCACATTATTAATACATCATTGATGGAGCACATGCAGCTTTGGTGGAGGCCGGGTCAATTTGGGGCTAATTGCAACCCACCCTGGCTATACACATTGCCTGTAGGAGATAACCGGAATAAACCCACAACTTTCAATAGAATGTTGACTGACTCTTCTCAATGTTATGAGTCTGCAGCGAGAATCGTACCCACAAGGGCCCAATGCCATAAATTAAGCCTTCCCTCTTTAATGGCTGAGATAAAAATAGCTCCTGGGAGCTCAATAGAGGATTAATTTTGCAGTATTATATTTTTAAACTCAGGTGTTTATGAGATGCGACGACATACAGTACTTCCCAGTAAATTGGAACAATTCTCTCACCGCTTCCAACAAGGTGTTGAAGATCGTAATAAATATTCCCAACTGATCGGGATTTGGTACAGCGATTTTGGAGAATTAAACGAAGGTATAGGAGTGGTTGTGATTGTAGAGTCCCCATTGTTCTCAATTGTGTACCAGTGGAACCAGAACATGTTCCAAATGCATTGAGAATGGAATGAACTTATCTTTCCCTGCATTTTTCTCCTTATAAGTCTATCATCTGTGGCATTATCGCAGTCCTGATGAACGTTTAAAAATCAGAGAAAATTCAGAAGAGGATGAGATGTGGAAAGAAACTAGTAAGTTCTGGGCTAACTTTATTCATACTGGATACCTCAATCAATTCTAAACAGTTCTCTCTAAAGGTCCAGTGAGTATCATCTTTTATTGATCCAGTGTTACTACAGGAGGAAACCCAAACTAAACTAACTTTCTTTATACTAGATAGCTCTATCAGTTCTAAACTTTTCTTCCTAGAGGTTCAGTAAGTATCATCTTTTATTGATCCAGTGTTACTACAGGAAGAAACCTACTGTAAACTAAACTAACTTTCTTTACACTGGATAGCTCTATCAGTTCTAAACTGTTCTTCCTAGAGGTTCAGTAAGTATCATCTCTTATTGATCCAGTGTTACTACAGGAGGAAACCTAAACTAAACTAACTTAATCTTTATACTGGATAGGTCTATCAGTTCTAAACTGTTCTTCCTAGAGGTTCAGTAAGAATCATCTCTTATTGATCCAGTGTTACTACAGGAGGAAACCTAAACTAAACGTCTAACTTAATCTTTATACTGGATAGCTCTATCAGTTCTAAACTGTTCTTCCTAGAGGTCCAGTCTAAAGGTCATCTCTTATTGATCCAGTGTTACTACAAGTGGAAACCTTAACTAAACTATCTCTATTTATACTGGATAGTTCCATTAGTTCTAAACTGTTCTCCCTAGAGGTCCAGTAAGGGTCATCTGTTATTGATACAGCCTGTGTTACTACAGGAGGAAACCTAAACCAAACTAGCTTTATTTATACTGGACAGCTAGCTCTATCAGTTCTAAACTGTTCTCCTAGAGGTCCAGAAAGGATCATGATCTCTTATTGGTCCAGTATGGGTCCAGTGTTACTACAAGAAGAAATCTAAACTAAACTTATAACTCTATTTATGCTGGATAGCTTGATCAGTTCAAAACTGTTCTCCCTAGAGGTCCAGCAAGTATCATCTCTTATTGATCTAAAAACTATGGCTTTTTAAGATAAAATTCTTCTTTCTTTTTAAGTTCGTGATTGCAAGTTGTTTTTGTCATCCATGAGTTCCAAACTGTTGGTTCCAACAAAGTTTTCACCATGGAAGTAAAGACGAGGTACAATTTTGAATTCAGATAGTTTTAGGGTAGATTAGTATGACCATGCGAGTGCAATATACCATTATAATATCACATTCAAACATTTGGTTGTTAAAGGATTGATGGTTTCATAAACAAATAAAATCCAAGTTATTATCTATATTTGGGTGGGATTTCCGCTTCATAATTTTGGTTCAGAGTTCGGAGTAGTTGATATGTGAATCGTTTCAGGCCTGCTTAGGATTATGTTTTGGAATATGTCTAACACATAAAGAAATATTGCTTTATTCATACATAATCAGAAAATGTATTTATAGTAGTGGTTATGCACAATTACATATTTTTCAAATATGAATTTTTATTAAATTAACGTAGTTCATATGTGTTGCAATTAGTATTATCATGGATAATAAAATAAATGGATAGGAAACTAGCTGACGTGACCTATTTCAATCAGCTGATGGCGTGATTGGATGTTGAAACCACAGAATAGAAAGTAAGTTATATTTTCTATTCTGTGGTTGAAACCTAGTTGCAAACCAAATTCTCAAAAACGGCATGTTTAGCAATAATACAGCTAAACATTTTTGTCAAGGAGCAAATAAATATAACCACGCCATTCTACGATGAAAACTCTAAGTATTCCCAGTCAATTTTAGCAAATATTTCAAGCACTATAAACAGTGAAAAATACATCGCAAATTTCGTTAAAATTTGTGACGCCAATTTCGTAGCTACAAATGTAAAAAAAAATACAAAACAAAGACGAAAAACATTTACCTTGAATACTTTGTCGTGGTTTAGGCATGTTTTTAAAACAATTAGACCAGTTTATGCTTCAATATCACCCTTTTAATTTAAAGTGGAAAATATAGCAAAACAACAAAAATGCCGAGAACTTTGGTAATATTCGCAATACGCGTGACGTCACGTTTTTCAACAAGGATGCAGTCAATGACGTCAGGAAGTTTCCTATCCAGTTATTTTACAATCCATGGTATTATACATTAAATTTTACACACGTAAAAACGCACAAGTTGTTACAGGTCTGGAAAAAATTATTACAAATCTGTTGACAAGCCGTCAACAAGTTGTGTTTGCAAGTGCTGCTTGTTCCCAGTTGTTGTAACAAGTTTGGAACCGCAAGCTGTTAAAAACTTAATTGTAACAAGCTTGGTGGCACTATCAGATTTGTTACAAAGTTGTTCTTTCAAGTCTGATACAGTCATGATAGAACAAGAATGTTACAAGGTTGACCACACAAGGTTGTAACAATATTGTTATCAGACTTGTTGTAACAACCTTGCAACAAATCTGATAATATCAACAAGCTTGTTGCAAGCTGTTAACAGCTTGTTCCATACTTGGGACAAGCAGTGCGAACACAACTTGTTGACGGCTTGTTGGCAGACTTGCTACAAGATGTGAGATTTTTGCTTGTAAATCTCACATCTTGTAGCAAGTCTGCCAACAAGTTGTCTTCGCACTGCTTGTCACAAGTTGTCAACAAGTTTGGAATATTATCAGACTTGTTGCAAGGTTGTTCCAACAAGTCCGATACAGTCATGATATAACAATATTGTTAAAACCTTGTGTTGTCAACCTTGTAACATTCGTGTTATATCATGACTGTATCAGACTCTTTTAGAACAACCTTGTAACAAGTCTGATAATGCTATCAAGCTTGTTACAAGTTGATTTAATTAACAGCTTTTTCTAAACTTGTTACAACAACTGGGAACAAGCAGTGCGAACACAACTTGTTGACAGCTTGTGAACAGATTTGTAGCAACTTGTTCGCAGACTTGTAACAACTTGTGCGTTTTTACGTGTGTAGTTCATATGTGTTGCAATTAGTAATCATACATTGAATCCTATATGGAGCTTTGATGTGGTTTATATACAATTCATGATGCTTGCATGCCAAAGAACTTGTCCCAAAGTCCGTTTTAACTAATCTTCATTTGGAGTCAACTGCGATTCCGCCTTTTCTTATTGGCTTTTTCTTTGTGAGCGGATTGAACTCGGATTTATCACCGAAACATTTCGGGCAGAGCCAGTCTCCAGGTAGTTCATCAAACGGAATGCCTTCGTCCAAGTCACTTTTAGGATCGTAAATATAACGACATTTCTGACATTTGAATTTCATTGTGTCCATTGTTCAGTAATCTAATTACAAAGACAACAAGTCATGTTTGGAGTAGGTTTTTAATTAAACAAAAACTATGCTCTATTTAAGAAATTGATAACATTTTCCTGTTGTCAGTTCAGTTACATAAAGTTGTAAAATGTTACTGGGACACTCACTGATATTCTCCGATCCGAGTTCGCGTTATTGATTTTTCATCGTCATATTTGGCAGAAGTGGAGCCCAGAATTCAAATCTTCATGCTCAAATTAGTGTATATAACATTTCATGTTTGCACATGAGTGCGCATTAATTTTGTTTTTATTATGCATTTGTATGGGATTTGCGCTGCAGTAAAAAACATAGCACGAAGATTCAATTGTCCACATTTGGCAAAGATGTGTAGATGGAAAAGTGATGACGTCACCTTGGATCTGAGAATTCTTGCATATCATGACCCCCTATAATCCTATCGCATCTATTACTGATTGGACAAACAAGTGAAAAATACGCGATGTTTAGTTGAAGCCCACGCCATTAGCCCACACTCGTAGGCCACAATAATTTCATTAGAACGCGGTTGCTATTTCCCGTTCCTCGATAGTTGACTCCCACAAACTCATTCGCAATTCAGCGGACCTTGACTGCGTGCTTGTAAACATTTATGATGACATTAGTGAGCTTAAGCAAGTGACGTTTTTGACAACACGGACGTCGACCGGAAGTAAAGTTGACGTTTTCCACCAATCACAGCCCTTGACCCAGTCTTCTGACGTTACTCATGCCGTCCGTGTTGTCAAAAACGTCACTTGCTTAAGCTCACTATTTATCGCGTTGTACGTACGTCGATAAATCATATACTATAGGCTTCATGCCATTCATGCGTATATTCGTATACATTGCGTGTAGAACTGCATTTCCTTATCAATTTAAACTTTGTATATTACCAATGCCATTGCATTGAAATGTGTTAATCGCCATTATAGCGTTAGTATACTACATTAATTGTTACAATAATTCTGCTCTATACTTATAATCTCATTGGCCAAGCAGCAGAAGTTTGTATCTGAACTGAAAATGATTTTCCAATGGCGAAAGTAAGCCACAACTCAAGTACCATTATTGATAACTTGAGTAAATTTTAATAAGTTAATTTTAATAAGCCAATTTTAATAAGTTAATATAATTAGACTTAATTCCATACATACTTGTATAATTTTACATACCTTGAATAGTTTAAAAGTAACATAATCTTTTTGCAACATCTATATATACTGGTGAATATAAGTTAATATAATTTATTTAATTAAGTTAGATAGTACTTACTTTATACATGCATATAGATTATAATGAGCTACAATTATATACATATACCTTTGCACAGGATGTACAAGATATATTAACGACTATTCTGCTTGTAAGACAATCGTCAGTTGACCCAGCCGAGTTTTAATAAGTTAATATAACTTGACTTAACTACAAACAAGCCATATAGATGACTGTTTATATCTGAAGATGCTACATACCTTGACACAGTGCAAAATAAAACAGTCGTTTTGCAAGTTCTTTCTGTGCAAGAATCAAATAATCTTGTTATAACTTCGTATATCTTCGAAAAGGTTAATAATATACCGAATCAACCACAAGTTGAGTTAGATTTGTACGTAATGAGTAAGCGAATCTAACTGCGTTTAGCGTCAGTATAGCATGATGCAGTGAACTGTCTCCATGTTATTGTTATATTTTCAAAAACATTTCAACTCATTTGAATACGAAGAATGAAGTGATGTTTGGGGGTTGGGTTGAGAGAGGTTGGGGGTCTAATTACAGCCGTGTATTGTGTGAGAGAATGCGACAGTGTTTTGGAAACATGTGGATGACTGCTTGCTTTGTCATGATGACGATATAGCTATACAGTGACGGCTGTATGCCAGACTACAAAACACAGGCCGGACACTATCTCGATACTCGATAGGTTGGTTACCTTTTAAGAGGAGATTTTTTTTGTATGTTACGTAACACGCGCTCAAAACTAATGCGTATAATATACCACTTGTGGTTATGACTAAATTCGAAATTTTTATTTTGCGATACGTTTCTCAACCGGCAAACAAACTTAAAAAGTATGTTTAGTGCTTTATCTGTAAAATAATGCTAAAATGAAGAGATTTTAGATGATACGCCGAAGAGAAAATGATGTTTGAAGTTCAGTAAGTTTTGCTTGTATGGCTGTAAATATGGCGTCAATTTTAAAGCATCATTGATAATTGTATTTTAATTGACAATTTTTAACTATTATTTTATGTTTCTCAACCGGCAGACGCATTTAAAAAGGTTGCTAACTCTATAAACTAGAGAATAAAGCTAAAACAAAGTAATTTTGAGAGGAACGCCAAAAAGATTTTAGGTTTTGAACACTTTTCATTGCAAATACGTGACATTGAAAAAGATTGCCTCTTAAATATTGTTTGTGTATCAATGCCAATGTGAGCCCCTTTGATTTGGCTTGGCTTTTGGGGCAAACATATTAATAAAATTTATATATATAAAAAAGAAGAATATTGTTCCAACATATCAAGAGACATATAGTTGATAAATATTTTTATTTTCTCAAATAGTATTCAGTATTATACATTTATTTACTAGATTACAAGGTGTTTTAATGAAACTTTTCTTAACGATACAGGACCTCTACGGTTAATTTAGTAGAAGCCAAATCATAAGTTATTTGAAATCGTTTCATTTTTATAATTTCTATAAATATTTCTAGAATTTATTTACTTTACAAAAAATACATGAAGCACGGTCAATACTCAATGACTAGACAATATTTTAATGACGCCAGGCGATTTACTGGTCACTAAAAGACCCGGCATCACGAAAGAATAGGCTACACTATTAATTGTCTACAAATTATCCCGCGATGAACGTTATGGCGACGAATATATTGTGAGACTAATTTTACAGCAGTGTTAAATATGCGTCGGTGAGATGTTATCGAATGAGCTCAAACGTATGTTCATTGCGTCATTCTGAATAATTTGCGCGCGTTTCACGTGATTATGGTACACTGTCGTTGCAGTTATAACCATGACGGCAATTACGATGACGACCGCTGCACTGCCTGCAACCACGATACCTAAGACGAGCCCGATCTGATCTTCATTGCTTTTGGGTTGACTGGCTTGGGTACTCTGCGCCATTGAATTGATAACTGAACTGTGTGTGTTAACTGGATTGATATCGGTCACTGAACTGCTTTCGATGACAGAATTGGTTTCAATAACTGGACTGTTTTCGATGACTGAACTGCTTTGAGCAACTGGACTGCTTGCGATGGCTGAACTGGTTACAATAACTGGACTGCTTTCGATGACTGAACTGGTTTCAATAACCGAACTGCTTCCGATGACGGAACTGCTTTCAATAACTGGATTGCTTTCGATGACTGAACTGCTTTCAATAACTGAAGTGCTTTCGATAACCGAACTGCTTTCAACAACTGAACTGCTTTCGATGACTGAACTGCTTTCAATAATTGAAGTGCTTTCGATAACCGAACTGCTTTCAATAACTGAACTGCTTTCGATGACTGAACTGCTTTCAATAACTGAAGTGCTTTCGATAACCGAACTGCTTTCAACAACTGAACTGCTTTCGATGACTGAACTGCTTTCAATAACTGAAGTGCTTTCGATAACCGAACTGCTTTTAATAACTGAACTGCTTTCGATGACTGAACTGCTTTCAATAACTGGATTGCTTTCGATAACTGAACTGCTCGTGGTAACTGGATTGCTCTGTGAAGGCGTGGGGGTGGTGTAGGGAGTAACTAAGGAACTTGTGGGTTCTTGAATGGTTACTGAGGATTCTATATGTTCACTTGTGGATTGAATGGGTATATCTGTGGTTGCGATTGCAGGAATAATGGTGGTACTTGGATATACAACAGTGCTTGTTGAGATCAAATTATATTCATCTAAAGAAATAAAGTTAGTTTAGGTTTTCTCCTGAGCTAACATTGTCCTTCCAGTATAAATAACGTTAGTTTAGTCGAGGTCTCCTCCTGTAGTAATACTGTGGAGGTCTATAATGATTAATGAGAACACTTTCGAAGTATTAAAGGTATCCAGTATTAAATAAAATGGTTGAGTGTGTCTACTCACGGGAAATATTTCCAGTCACTTTAAAGACAAGACAAGATGACAGTTGAGTGACTTCAACTATCCCATTTTCTTCACTTGAATTTTGACAAGTCACATCCAGTCTTATAAATTTCCCTTCAATTTCCGATTTCTTGCTCTCTGGAAGGTCTTCAATTATCTTTGAGAGAGAGTAAACGATGAATAGTCATACATTGTGAACAAAATGTAGCCGTCTTAACCCATGCAGAGAAAAATTTCGGAATTTCTGGCATCTTACTCGATAAATTTGAAGGATTTTTGTAGAAATTAAGTGTAAATTTTTATACATTATTACCTAACCAGAAGCAATTGCAAAAAATGCAATAGACCTTTTGAGTGAAATTTTGATCTAGACAAGTCTGGACAAAAATTTCATCACAGCTTGAAAGAGCATCACAAAATTAGTAATATTCCGAAGTTTCGTTGCGAATGTTGTAAAATGCGGATAATATAGCCTTGCGAAGTTTGCCGTTTTTCAGTCATTTTGCATTACAAATGGGAAATTGATAATCAGATGATCAAACTGATTATCAATTTCCCGTTTGTAATGTAAAATGACTGAAAAAGGGCAAACTTCGCAAGGCTATATTATCCGCATTTTACAACATTTCGCAACGAAACTTCGGAATATTACTAATTTTGTGATGATCTTAGTCAAGCTGTGATGAAATTTTTGTCCAGGCATATCTAGATCAAAATTTCACTCATAAGGGGAAAGGTCTATTGCAGACATTGCAGTACTCTAACCAACTGGGGCCAGTTGTTCAAAGCTGGGTTAACTTAACCCTAGGTTTACCGGCTAAAATTCAAAGCAAACTTTCCAACAACTATGTTTATAAATTTGGCAATATTTCTTCAGAGATCTTGTCTGAATCAGTATGAGTTTTCTTCTCTGAAGTTTTGAAATAAACAGATGTGTAGAAATACACAAACTAAAACAGCAGGTGAAACGGTTTTAACCGCTAGGGTTAGTGCTAATCCAACTTTGAACAAGCTAGCAGCCCCCTGAGCTACAGCTAGAGTCCGGTTGTCGAGCCGGTCTAAACGTAAGTTCATGTATATACTCTCAGATAGACCTAATAATCTATAAAAATGTTCTATCTGCATAAACCCGTCGACCCCCGTCTTAACCCCGCCCTATATTTGATGAATAAGATATGTCCGTACCCAATTAAAGTGCCAGTAGCCTCTGAGGCCAAAGAAAGTTATAATAGATTCATTTGCCCGTGCTGTAAAAACATCCCACATTCCCGCAGCGTCGTACGTTGATAAACTAGTGTATGCACACTCGTTGTATTCGTCAGCGCTGACATTGAATGCTCCCTGGAAGCCAAAACCCTCTTCGATATACAGGGTAAAGAGGCGGTCAGTGTCTGAGTTGAAACGCCAGCCTTCTGACCAGGACCATGAGCCAAATACGAAGCTACAACCTTAGATGAGAGGTACAGTAATGTTAGAAAATATGAGTTAAGCAGGTCGAAGTTTAACAGTCCTCGCGCAATTCTGATGAATCACTGTAAGTTCGGCGGCAATTTTTTGTCTTCATTAAATGACATCAGAATAGAACTGAATTGTTTTTACAGCATTCTTGTAACTCTAAGTCAGTGGCCTAACGCTAATTAGGTAGGATTAGTTCAAAAACTAAGGACCCCCGACAGTTAGGGACCCCATAAGCGGCCACGGCCTATCGCTCAGAAAATTAGAAAACGTAAAAGATGCAGGTGAGGAATGAATGGGAAAATGCAAAATTATAATGCTAAATAATAAAGCCTCCATCAACAACGGCAGCTGATTTTTTTATTCCATCTCAACTGAAAACAAAATTTATTCTCATTACAGGTAGTTGTTACACGTGTTGGAGACTGTTATTGCTTTCGTTAGGGACACGGAATTTTCCAGAACATTATAAATATTCAATATAAATATAATATCCCTCTGTTACGCCACTGCTCTAAGTGTTTGATATTCGAGAAAAATCCGTTGATTGACGTTCACACCATTTTAATCATCTGTTCATACCATATGGTTCGTACTTAGAAGAATTATTCGAATTGAGAAGCAAGAGACCACCAAAATTTGTCGGCGACAGAAAAATGCCGTCGATAACTTCATTTTCGATGGCATTATCGGCATATCACAATTGCCCTTTGCCGCCGAAAACTGCGAGGATTGAAGGGATTTACATAAATGGTTATCGCTCTGCTTTTAGTGGCCTGACTTGATATACTTAAAAGTTCATGCATGTAGTTATACGTGGAGATATGGTTTGTTCTCTCCTGTTTCTGCTTTCAACAATGGAAGGCTAATTAAATAGAAGTTGCGAAGCTAAATTGAGAGAAAAGCTTATTAGAGAGGGGGCGTATTAGACATGCATTTCACACAGGGATTACTCTGTACGGGTATTTCCTGTTTGGGTTACGTGGGCAAATCTTGGTTGATAATACGCTTTTCTCAACACATTTTTTAATCTTATATTATCTGCTGCGTAAAGAACTGTTAGAAAGTGAAATTGAAAAATCCGTAACTGTTTTGATTCCCCTATACTGACCCAGTTTAGTTTTTAAAGATGAAATTAATATATACTAAACTAAGACTATAACGTTTATATATACTGCATGGATGGCACTGTCAGTTTGTATATACCTTACCAGTGGTCCAGTGAGGATCATCTCTTGTTGATCCAGTGTTACTACAGGAGGAAACCTAAACTAAACTAATTTTATTTATACTGGATAGCTCTATCAGTTCTAAACTGTTCTTCCTGGAGGTCCAGTAAGGATCATCTCTTATTGATCCAGTGTTACTACAGGAGGAAACCTAAACTAGACTAACCGTTTATTCATACTGGATAGCTCTATCAGTTCTAAACTTTTCTTACTAGAGATCCAGTAAGAATCATCTCTTATTGATCCATGCAGTGTTACTACAGCGGGAGGAAACCTAAACTAAACTAACTTTATTTATACTGGATAGCTCTATCAGTTCTAAACTGTTCTTCCTAGAGATCCAGTAAGGATCATCTCTTATTGATCCAGTATTACTACAGGAGGAAACCTAAACTAGAGTAACCGTTTATTCACACTGGATAGCTCTATCAGTTCTAAACTGTTCTTCCTAGAACGAGGTCCATGCAGTAAGGATCATTTCTTATTTATCCAGTGTCATTACAAGAGGAAATCTACTGAAACGCGCTTCTTTATTTATACTGGATAGCTCTATCTGTTGTTGATCTTACCCCCAACTAAGATGCAAAATGGTGTAGTGCTTGGTTTTTCAGTGGAGTGGAAAAAATAAAATATATACTTTTATTCGTGCACCTACCTTGCCGTAATTTTTTATCGTCACCACACTTTTGTTCATGTAAAATAAAACTACCAGTCTCGTTTTTACAAACACACTCCATATAACACGAATTATCACCAAATTCTACGGTTCCCTGAGCAAGCAAAGTGCAATTCGCCGCGGACAATTCGGCATTAATGGCATTCTGGTCTTGACACAGACTCGAATTCACGACCACCAAATTCACTTTGTCACCCGAGTCGAAGTTGTCACTCCGTGTTATGTTGACTGAGTGGATGTTTTGAGCCGAAACCACGTTGGTTTGAGATATTAAAACAAGAGAATAGTAAATAAATGCTGAGAAGGTGTTAAACCAATTCATTTTACTGCTCTATACTTGTTTTGCAATTTAGTCTGCGTGGTATGAGGTTCACAAAGTTAACAGGGCATAACATAGCACAATACTAACACAGTAGGGATTGAGTTCTTATACGTCATATTACTGTAAACGCATTCAAAATTTATAGATATGAATATTTTTGCGCTATATTTTGAGAAAAATAGGCACCCCAGGCAAATTTTATACTCGAAAGTTCTGTCAGTTCTAAACTGTTCTCCTTATTAGGTTATAGGGTCGTCTATCTTTTTAAAAGTGACGTGTTCGGAATTATATCAAGGAATCTTGTCGTTTTTGACAGATTACTGATGTGTGTTCTTGTGCCCTTATTATAATTATTTATATTTCTATTTACTTGCAATACACGTACTGTCTGTTTTTGTATTCTGTATAGTATGTACTACCTTTGGCTTTGTATGTATAATTGGGTCTTGTGCGAGCCATTCCTTATTGATCCAGTGTTACACAACAAGAGGAAACCTAAACTAAACTAACTTTATTTACACTGGATAGCTCTATCAGTTCTGAACTGTTCTTCCTAGAGGTCCAGTAAGGATAATCTCTTATTGATCCGGTGTTACCACAAGAGAAAACCTAAACTAAACTAAACTAACTTTATTTATCCTGGATAGCTCTGTCAGTTCTAAACTGTTCTCCCTAGAGCCGTAGTGGTCCAGTAAGGACGATCTCTTATTGCAGAATGAAACGTCAACTAAACTAATTTTACTTGCACTAGATAATTCTTATCTGTTCTGTCGGCGTATTAAAGAAGCTCGTATGTAAAGTCTTTCTGCGTGAATTTATTTGGAATGGATAAATTTGAGTAATTGTGCAATTCCGCATTCTATTAAAGATCGTTGCAGCTCTTTGTAATGTCAATATCTTAGTTGTTTCCGATTTCAAACTTGTCTCATTGGTTATTGGTTCACAACGCTGCATCGGACGATAGTGCTTTTGGTCTGGAGAAAGAAAACTCTCTTCAAGAGCAAGTGCTGGTGTGCAGCAAATTGTGTGTTTTGATTTGTGTGTTTGTGAATTCATTCACGATAATTCAACGTGATCTATTCCATCAAAAAAATCTGATCAACTGTCAGATGGATAATCCATCTCTAGTTTGGGGATTAGTGTTGGTGCTATGTGATCTTTGCAATGAAACCTGATATAAATCTCGGTGTGATGTTCGTTCCAGACCTTCGTTTGTAACAGACCATACCAACCACTATCCCAGCAAGAAGTAGAATTGAGAATGTCACTCCTAGGGCTATTGCCACTATGGCAGTGTTTTCTTCTTTCGACTTTTCGGATTCTTGCCTTTTGGGGGAAACTGAAAAGATGGAAAAGTGTATTAATAGTGGTATGGTATGGTATGGTATGATATGGTATGGTAGGTATGGTATGGTATGGTATGTTATGGTATGGTATGGTAGGTATGGTATGGTATGGTATGGTGTATTGTAGGTATGGTAATGTATGGTATGGTGATGGTATGGTATGGTGTATTGTAGGTATGGTAATGTATGGTATGGTGAAGATATGGTGATGGTATGGTGGTGGTATGGTGGGTATGGTATTGAGGTGTGGTAATGTATGGTATCTTGTGGTATTGGATGGTGTGGTATGGTCTGATATGATTGGTGTGGTATGGTGTAATATGGTATAACAAGTATGGTATGGTATGGTGTGATATGGTGTGATATGGCATGGTGCCTATAGTGTCATTTGGTGTGGTTTGGTGTGGTGTGATGTGTGGTTTGGATGGTCTAGTATGGACCAGCAGGAAATAATCCCTAGATTGACCAATCCAAACTTCTGCTGTCTAGTGCTCACCAGTAAAGTTTCCAGTCACTTTAAAAACGAGACATGACTCAGTGGGTTGACGTAAAATATCGTTATGTAGTGTGGGTTCTGGCGGTTGACACGTGATTGAAAATTTAAGTATTCTTCCTCGGATCTCTTGTCTACTTTCTGCGCCCAGATTTTCTGTATTCTGTAAAGATGAGTTACAGTAAAGATTTGTTCGGACCAGGGCTTCAGGCCACTCTTACTGGACCTCTAGAGAGAGCAGTTAGCTAGGGGTATCCAGTATTAATACTGGATAGAGAGAACAGTTAGAGGTATCCAGTATTAATACTGGATACTGATAGAGGTATCCAGTATTAATAAAGTTTGCTTAAGTTAGATTTCTTCATGTAGTAACACTGGATCAATGATGACTCTTATTGTATCTCTATTCTAGAGAGAACAGTTTCGAACCATAATTCGAACTGGTAGAGCTATCCGGTATAAATAAAGTTAGTTTACTGATATTCTTACCCAACTAATATGATAATGATGTCTGACAACAAAGAATGTAACATCCTTTGAATCAAAGTCAATCTTCCCCCAGACTCCAGTTTCAGTCAAAGTAGTCACATTGGCCAACGTACAACGCTCAAACTCTCTGTTTGAGGCATTGAATCCACCAGCAATGCCATAGCCATCGTCCAGGTATAGGAAAAGTAGCCGGTCACCCTCCTCGCTCCAAGTCCATCCAGACGAATGACGCCACGAACCGAAACGAAAAGCACAACCTTCGTACAAAAGAAAATGCATTTTTCATTCATTATTTTATTTGGAAACCCAGCAGGAAAGACCAGGAAACGGTTGTTTCTCCACGGTTCTCAAATCTCAAACCTGCGTGGAAGTACTTAATTTTAATTTTACAAAATTATGTTTCCTAGGCATGTTTACTGAAGGTGGGAAAACCAGGAAACATTGTTTCCTGGCCATGTTCCGCCAGCAAACATATTGTTTCTTAGTTATGTTCCAGATGGTGGACAAACCAGAAAACATTGTTTCCTGGCCATGTTCCTCCAGAAAACATTGTTTCCTAGCCATGTTCCCAGTGGTGGACAAACCAGGAAGTATTGTTTCCTACAAGTATCTGAGCTTACCTCGACGTAACCAGACATTGTTGACACACTGTCTCTCACTGACAACATAAGTTGGACTGCTTTCTTTGCACGTACAGATATGACTATTCTGAGCATATATCTCGTCTTTGGTCTCGCTACAGTTCATAGTTTTACTTGTAATATATCTCGAGTCCAGCTCGGTGCCTGGCTTAGCCGGCCGAATGTGAACGCGGTCCGTGTCGGAACGTGTCTCTCGAAATACGGTCAGTACAACATCCGAATTTTGTGACTCTACATTCTGCCATGTTGGACATGTAATACTTAGTAATAAAAGAGTAGCGTATAGTATATATAATCCTGTCAGCCTCACTACTGCCATAGTTCGACTTAAAACCGGCTAAGCTTTTTCGCAGTTGTCGGCGTGTTCCGGCCTGCTATGGAAACCGACTTAAAAAACAGTACAAATGGATTGTTCTTTTTAGAGTCGACGGCCTTTTCAATTTTGAACGACAATATTGGCGTTCGCTTTCACAACAGTAAGTTGCATTCTATCGTTCGTTTATACTCCAAACAGCTTTCAGTCTTCGCACAACAAACACTGATATTAAAGGATTCCTTTAATCCAATCGTCAATTTATCAAGACTTGAATACGGCTTCGAATATACCTGTTAAGTGGAAAAGAGCTATATTAATATTGACATTCTGTTTGAATGTCTGATTAAATTTTGCGCAAAGTAAACTAAGTTTTCAATTGGTACTGGGAAAGTTTTTTGGCGTGTCTAGACCGGCTCGAATTGTGTAATTGAAACACAACTTATGACTAATCGAAATGGTATGCGGTTCTAGATTTCAAATTGCTTGACCTTGGTGAGTTGGCTGCCAGAGGTGAGTTGGAGGATTATGACATTTTGTAGCCATGCATAAAAGGTCGATATCCGGGAGTCTTTGCACCGTTGCTGTTGTTGAATTTATTACAATGAAAAGCACATAAGGAAGTAAACCTCAAGATCAGCAATAGTTTCAAATAGCCCCCGACATAATAGGCAATTTCCGTGAGTGCACACGAAACAATAGCTTGTGAATAAGTAGTTTTTGATTGCCAGTCAGAAAATTCGGGAACTTTCTACGTGTATTGCACGATTCTCACTTTGTGGTTAGATATGGAATTAACCCCAATGGCTGGAATTAATGGCTGGAGGCCGACGCGCGCGGTGGTGGATGGGAGTTATAAATGTAACAATTAAAATACTCAACCGTAGATGCAAGCAACAAATTTTGGTTGACAAACTCTGATCTATATGGCTCCAGTATTGAGCATCCAGGTGCTTGCTTTGCTGATAAGCCTTAGAGCTGAAGGAAGGGCTTGAACTTCGCTCAAGGTAATTATTTGTCTTGCCAAATATCCACCCACAGCTGAGATGGAAATCTCTGATAAAATATTTTAAATACTTTATAGTGTAATTACTTTATACACCTACGGATTGGGAGATCTACACCTACCTGAAAGATACAAGCAGAACTTCGATGTTTCGTTTGGAAGTTGGTCGTTCTTCTGCTTGTATTTTTTCAGGCAGTTGCACAGAGCTCTGCAGACACCTCTGTCAATCCGCGTCATCGTCGCCAACCATTCGAGACTATATAAATACTTTACGTATAGTATATATTGCTTTACCACATTAACACATGCTCCAAGGAATGTTAGGGTTCAGATGTAAGATGTTTAAGCAGATATGAGCCGAACTGTTCAGCATATATTACCAAAACTACGAAGTCCATCTTATGACGAAATACCAAATAATACACGTCGTATCATGTTTCATGTTTAGCTTAGCACAGCTTGATGCACACTACACAGATTACATAAATGCTAACATTATAGATGTTAATAATTAAAATGTTGTGTTTCTAACCTGTGCTTTCTTGCTCAAACAAAGAGTTTCTTTCTTAAAAACGGATGTAGGAGACGCCAGCAGACGTGACTTATTTTAAATTCGTCATGTCACGAATATTTTAAACGTATCATTTTTCTTCCATTTCCCAATTTTCCCTACGGTTTTTCGCATTCAAATAGCTATGTAGCTACCATGCTGGCTATCCTTTTATTACTCTGCTAGCAGGGTACTATGTAGCCTATATTGAGATTCAAAATGGTTTCATTGTCTTTTACAGTTTTAGTGTTCGTCTTTGTTTTGGTTTGTTTTTTTACTTTCGCCAGGCGGAAACTGGTGTCAAAAACGCTAATGCTTGCTTGCTTGATATGTTCAGTGGCGGCAGAACGGATTTTATTTTGGGGGAGGGGTTTTTTGTAGGTGGAATTTTCAAATGTAAATTTTATAAATTTATTACACCTAACCAGGTGCAGTTGCGAAAACTGTGTAGTATGGATGATGGGCAGCTATCAGTATAGACGAAATTTTGATCTAGAGAAGAACGAAATCCATTGACCATTACCATAGCTGGAAAGAGAGTCTTAAGACGAGTAAAATTGCAAAGTTTGGTTGCGAATTGTTGTAAAACGAGGCCGAAATATAGGTTATATAGCCCTATGGCTATGAAGTTCGCAAATTTTGTATATATTTGCATTACGCGCGGGAAAAATAACCATTTTTGAGCCGAAAGTGGTTATTTTTACCGCGCGTAATACAAATCTATACAAAATTTGCGAACTTCAGAGGTTATATTTTTCGTCATTCTACAACATTTAGCAATCAATCTTTACAGTTTTACCCATTCTAAGACGCTCTTTCTAGCTGTGGTTTTGGATTTCGTTCTTCTTGCCTTGATCAAAATTTAGTCTGTAGCTCGGGAATCATCCATTGAAGTGTATTCCTAATCTGTGACGAGAATGAGATTTCGCAAGCGAGAGTTTGCATGAGAGTTACTGAATATAATGGACAACTTGCATGTTAGACTAAATTTTAATCTATAAGTAAAGAGAAGGGAATCAAACACAGAACGTAATGAAATGAGTAAGATTGCAAAATTTGGTTGCGAAATGTTGTAAAATACAGAAAATATTAGCTTGCGAAGTACTTTGCATATTTTCAGTATATTTGTATTACGTGCGGAAATTGTTACCATTTTCGGCTCTAAAATGGTAACAATTTCCGCACGTAATACAAATATACTGAAAATATGCAAACTTCGCAAGGCTATATTTTCTGCCTTTTAACAACATTTCGTAACCAAATTTTGCAATTTTACTGATTTTGATAAGTTTTTTACGGGAATTTACTTTTTGTCTAAATCAAAAATTAACATGCAAGTTGTCTATTGCGCGCGTAATTCGCCCTTTGCGCAAAATAGTATAATAATAACACAACATGACACATATTTTTCTTTAGAATTTTAACTTTAGAATTTTAACAATATTTACATTAATTTATCATTTTCGTATGATAATAATTTAATTTTTTTCATTTTTAGTCATCTTAATGTCTGTGACTACATTTTAAAACTCAACCAGGAACGTAAATTTTATACTTTTATCTACCAAAAGTCAATGTTGAATAAAAATTTGAAGAGAGTGATGATTTCAAATCCCAGACAAAGGCCCACAAAACGTTTTAGGGGATGCAGTTAATGTTTAAAGCTGAGTTCAGAGCAATCAAACCTGCACATGTGAAAATGCCCAAGTTGTAAGAAGTCTGCAAACAAGCTGTAAACAAGTCTGTTCACAAGCTGTCAACAAGTTGTGTTCGCATTGCTTGTTCCCAGTTTGTTGTAACAAGTTTGAAACAAGCTGTTAACAACTTGTAACAAGCTTGATGGCATTATCAGCCTTGTTACAAGACTGTGCTAACAAGTTTGTTACAGCCATGATATAACAAGGATGTTACAAGGTTGACGACACAAGGTTGTAACAATCTTGTTATATCAAGCATGTAACAGACTTGTCAGAACAACCTTGCAACAAGTCTGATAATTTCGACAAGGTTGTTACAAGTTGTCAACAAGTTGTTCCAAACCTGTTGACAACTTGTGACAAGCAGTGCAAATACATCTTGCTGACTTGTTGGCAGACTTGTTACAAGATGTGAGATTTTTACGTGTGCACATGTTTGCATTGTATATCAGAGCAAGCAAATTTTCACAACCATTTATCATCAATGTATTTCTTGATAACACAGCATTGACCATGCATCAACCATGTCAAACCCATTTTGCTGCAAGGTAAGGGCTACACTTGGTATACCCCTGATAGTGTACAATTTTGATACCGGTCTTATCACCTTAAAAAACTGCAAAAAAGTGCACAATAGTTGGAAAATTTGAGCGCGGAATTTGGGATTTGAGAAGCAGACTGTGGACCTTCATGCCAGGTAAAAATATTTACAACTTTAGCTTGTTTTATATGTTCATAACTTGTCCTTTTCAGCTAGATACTTTTCCATTTGACTGTCTTGGTCTGAGCTGAAACAGAATAAAACAACAATCACTTAGAACCAAACTACTTTATACTGGATATATCTGTCAATTCTAAACTGTCCTTCCTAGAGGTGGCGGATTAAACTACATCTACCAATTTTATTCACTTGTTTCCTATGAATCGTGTAACAAAATCCTTTTCCTGACAACATGGATTGTAAAATAACATATTTATTTTATTATCCATGCTGACAATAAACGATTGTTTGAATGAACTTTATACTGCTTTATACTTTTGGCTGTTTATCAAAGCTGTGATTCGAGCTTTATTAATTTATAAACAAATCATCCTGGCCAGTCCAGCTCCATATGAACAACTCCTACTGTAAAAGAAGACTGCTACGTGTTGCCCACCATTAGTTGATAGTGTTTCGTGACCAAATCTCCTGATTTTGCTCAGCTTTCAAGTAGTTTTGTTTAATTTGTGCCTAATTGCACATACCTTCGACATAAATTGATCCAACGTCGATTGTTTAGCCGGTCGGCTCCTGCTGTTCGTCTTTCTTGTCTGAACAGGTCTACATAGTTTAGGGCCTCCCGCTTCGCTGGAGAATTTTATCCGCCTAGATGTGCTCGATCCTTTCTTCGCTCGCAAATAATCTAAAAGAAAACGTGTTTGGGAGTTAGTTAAAAAGACAAGTTACTATAGTAGAAGGTGTTTTGGACAAAGAACGAAAGATCGACCGGTTTTTGAGCAATATTGGGTAGATATTTGCGACAGACATACAACCTTAATAGTTCCGCATTTCATGACAATAGATGACACCGCGGTTTACAAAAATATTTTCGCCACGTTTTAATTTGAAAACTACCGCATTTTTGTGATATAGATAAAAGCAATTCTAAGAAGGAATGTTAAGGCACTATTGTAGAGGTTTTTGAACTGTTTTCACCAAAATAGAAGTCAAAATTTAGTTGATTATAACAAGATTTCAAGTGCCAGACGCGCTTGAATAATACAGCAAATACCATAGATAAAAAAATGTATTTTATACAAGCTACAATTTTGAACAATAGGTTCCAAGCCTGTTGCCTGTTTTACAAATGTGTGTGCTCAAATTTATTCTATATGTTTGTGAGTTTTAATCGAAAACTATTTACATTGATTTCAAGTTATAAACTAGACGACAGGCTTGAATTACTTTTACCGACAATTGACGGAAGTTATTTATAGAGGTCACATCATGACATCTGTATAAAATAATACTCAAAAATAATCGAGTAAAATTCACACTGATCACACACAAATACCTGTAATCCGCGGTGATTTCCGTAGTCGTTTTGCGCTCAATCGTTCAGGCGTTTCGAAACAACTTTTTGGGGCGTCTGATGTTCTATTTCTCGAGGTATTTCTCGTGGTAACACTCGTTTCAGCGTGCGTTATTACAGCATCATTCGAATGTTGTGGCGTGATTCTGACAGTCGCTGGACTGGTAATCGATTCCTCGTTTGTGGCAAATCCAACGCTACGATTTTCGCCAACTCTCTGCCAAAGAAATTCCCCGTCAAGAGGTTTAACCTCCATAAAATCGAAATTCCAACGACGTTTCTTCTCGTCCGCAATTCGCCTCAACTCTGCCTCTAATTCAGCACGTAGCTGAGCGTGGTCAATAGGACCAAATAAATTTCGACAACAAGACCGGCTGATTCCTAACTCAAAACGTTTTGGAGAACCCGTAGAAGACTGCCTAGCCATTCTTGCAACACTCATGATACAAAACAGCAATCGATCACAATAGAGAACGTTACAAAAAGCGATAGAAATGCAACAATATAAACCCACTCAAACACCAAATTTGCAACGTAGCGAAGCCACTTTACTCACTGTAGTAAAATTTTTCAATGACTGTTTCCGGTTTGTTGCAATGCCCGCGTTCTGATTGGCTCATCGCAGACATGAATGCCACGCGTTCCCTAGCGACCAAACAAAGAAGCGGGAAATTATTTCGCCACAAATTTGGCGGGAAAGTTTTGTGCACGTGATACACAAAAGTTGTGCATGTGACTATCATGTGACTGATGGTGGTGCAAAACCCCGGTGGTATATTTTTTCGTAGGGTATTTTTGTCGTAGAAATAGAACCGCTGTCGTTTTTATCCAGGGCTCATTTCTTGTCCGCCATATTTGTTTATAAATTGAATTAATTTGTTGATATTTTTCGACTTTTTATACCAAGATTTTCGTCGAATTAGCAGCGTTTTTGCTGCTTGAAAGGTATGTATTATTGCTATGCTTGTTATATTTGTGATTGTTTGTGTGTTTCAAAACAGATTTTGTTGTTAAATGTCTGGTAGAGTTTACATAGTTCATCTACAGTATATTGGGCTATTACATTTAATATCTGTACTCCCCTGTCGAGGACCTCATTTTCCAAGGGGGAAATTAGTAGTCATTTTTTCCAGAGGGGTAATTGGGGAAAATGGAAGAAAAATGCTCTTTCCAGAGGGGTAAAAAGCAAAAAAGCACTTCCAGAGGGGGTTCAAGTCTCTTCCAGAGGGGTCAATTACACAGATTTTTTTTGCATTCCAGAGGGCTAAAAATCCCCAAAAGCAGAGGTCCTCGACAGGGGGGTTTGGTTTTTTAATGTAATAGCCCATTTTAATCATGTCATTTAATAGATTTTCTTTGCAAAAGTTCCTACAGATGGAATCACCCATCTCTAGAAAAACGGCTAGTCAACAGAGAATACCTATTCAGAGGTGTAACTTAACACTTGCCCCGGGGGGCAATTAGGTGAATATCATGACGGGCAAGTAAACAGTTTACCTTGCTTGCCCGATTGGGCAAGTTGCCTTGCCACCAAAAGCTGGGCATCTCTAAGCATCATCGTTAACAAGCTCGCTACACACGTAAAAACGCACAAGTTGTAACAGGTCTGCAAGCAAGTTGTTACAAATCGGTTCACAAGCTGTCGACAAGTTGTGTTCGCACTGCTTGTTCCCAGTTGTTGTAACAAGTTTGGAACAAGCTGTTAACAACTTGTAACAAACTTGATCGCATTATCAGACTTGTTACAAGGTTGTTCTAACAAGACTGATACAGTCATGATATAACAAGATTGTTGCAAAATGCAAGGTCGACAACACAAGGTTGTAACAAGGTTGTTGTTTATATATCATAACTGCATCATACTTGTTGGAACAACCTTGCAACAAGTCTGATAATATCAACAAGGTTGTTACAAGTTGTGACAGCTTGTTCCAAACTTGATGACAACTTGGGACAAGCAGTGCGAACACAACTTGTTGACAACTTGTTGCCTTGTTGGCAGAGTTGCTACAAGATGTGAGGTTTTTACGTGTGTACAAACCTATTACAAACATATCTTGTTGAGAAGTTGTTGGAACAGCATTGTCACAACTTGTTAACAAGCTTGCTACAAGCCTGTTGAGGTCTTGAGTATAAATCTTGTTGACAAGTTATTGGAACAGCATTGTCATAACTTGTTAACAAGCTTGCTACAAGCCTGTTGAGGATAAATCTTGTTGACAATTAAGTTGTTGGAACAGCATTGTCATAACTTGTTAAAAAGCTTGATACAAACCTATTGCAAATAACATCTTGTTGACAAGTCGTTGGAACAGCATTGTCACAACTTGTTAACAAGCTTGCTACAAGCCTGTTGAGGATAAATCTTGTTGACAAGTTGTTGGAACAGCATTGTCACAACTTGTTAACAAGCTTGCTACAAGCCTGTTGGGGATAAATCTTGTTGACAAGTTGTTGGAACAGCATTGTCACAACTTGTTAACAAGCTTGCTACAAGCCTGTTGAGGATAAATCTTGTTGGTAAGTTGTTGGAACAGCATTGTCACAACTTGTTAACAAGCTTGCTACAAGCCTGTTGAGGATAAATCTTATTAGCAAGTTGTTGGAACAGCATTGTCACAACTTGTTAACAAGCTTGCTACAAGCCTGTTGAGGATAAATCTTGTTGAGAAGTTGTTGGAACAGCATTGTTACAACTTGTTAACAAGCTTGCTACAAGCCTGTTGGGGATAAATCTTGTTGACAAGTTTTTGGAACAGCATTGTCACAACTTGTTAACAAGCTTGCTACAAGCCTGTTGAGGATAAATCTTGTTGACAAGTTGTTGGAACAGCATTGTCACAACTTGTTAACAAGCTTGCTACAAGCCTGTTGAGAACATATCTTGTTGACAAGTTATTTGAACAGCATTGTCACAACTTGTTAACAAGCTTGCCACAAGCGTGTTGCGAACATATCTTGCTGTCAGAATGTTTGAACAGCATTATCACAACTTGTTAACAAGCTTGCTACAAGCCTGTTGCGAACATATCTTGTTGTCAGAATGTTTGAACAGCATTATCACAACTTGTTAACAAGCTTGCTACAAACCTGTTGAGGAGACATCTTGTTCACAGAATGTTTGAACAGCATTGTCACAACTTGTTAAGAAGCTTGCTACAAGCCTGTTACGAACATATCTTGTTGACAAGATATTTGAACAGCATTGTCACAACTTGTTAACAAGCTTGCTACAAGCCTGTTGCGAGCATATCTTGTTGACAGAATGTTGGAACAGCATTGTCACAACTTGTTACCAAGCTTGCTACAAGCCTGTTGAGAACATATCTTGCTGACAGAATGTTGGAACAGCATTGTCACAACTTGTTAACAAGCTTGCTACAAGCCTGTTGAGGATAAATCTTGTTGACAAGTTGTTGGAACAGCATTGTCATAACTTGTTAACAAGCTTGCTACAAGCCTGTTGAGGATAAATCTT